AAGACATTGCAACAATGGAGAAATGCTATCAAAGCAAATTGAGCCCATCAATGCTTGCAGACTAGTGCTGGACAGTGACAAGAGATGCTCCATTTAATGAATACAAGAGACAAGCCAAGAAGCGCTGAGTAGACACTGAATAGAACTAAACTATGTACATAATAGTTTTTTGCTTTTTGTTTCATAATAAATTTTATTTATATAACCCTTTTGCTGATTTTTAAAGTGTTACATAAACAGGACAGGTGAAATATCATCATGTAAAGCAACCATAAACACATGAAAAGACCTAGGTTTAGAATTTATGATTAAAACTCTACTATCTACACAATACCCACAGACATAAAATGTAAAAACTTAAATATCTTAGAAACAGTAGCCAATCAGTTGTTTTAATTGTCATATTTGAATCCAGCACATCAAAATACAAAATAAATAGCACATTTTATCTCTGAAGCAGACGACTTCTCAAAAAATTGTAGACCAGTGTAATGTACAAAGAAAATCTAAGTTATACCCAAGTCAGGCACTTTTGAAAATGAACATGATAGTTTTGAGTTTAAAGGCACCACAGAATTCTGGCATGAAGAAATATTCAAATTGTTTTTAAACACTGGAAAAAAAGTTAGCAGTCTGTAATATCAAATCATATGCATGAATGTATGTTTAATGTTTATCATGCTTTTAGACATATAAATCAAAAATGGGATGTATACATGATGATTGTCCTTGATGTTAGACAGAAGAAGTTGAATGTTAGCTATGTATCTTTTTATATAGAGGATATGGAAAAAACAATCGAAAGAAAGAAAAAGAAAGAAAGACTTACCCGTTATACCATTTGATTCCTTTTGTAGATCACAATACCACAGCCTGTTCACTGGATCACATCCCTCTCGTATGGATAGTAAGACATACCGACCATCATCAGATACCTGCAAGAAAGTACAGAAAGTTAGGACAACACATTATTTTGAGAGATACTTCTAAATAGGAAAATCAGTGACATGTACATTTAAGACATTCAAGACAATTATTTAAGAAGGAACACAATTTTCCTGTTAAACTTTACTAGGAAGTAAGACTAGCACATAAAATTCACAATTAAAATGTGGTGGGTTTTTTTGTTTTTGTTTTTTACTGAAAGGGAAGGCTATTTAATATGTGCTATTTGAACAAAAGTAGATACTTCTGTTGTGTCTTCATTTTCTACTGACTGTATAGGATCAAGTAGCTTTATACTGGTTATAGAACATACAAACTACAGCAGAGACATAATGGAAAAGACGAAGAATGCTTGACTTATTTTTGTTAACGTCTAGCCCAGGAGTAGGCAACCTATGGCATGCGTGCCAAAGGTGGCACGCAAGCTGATTTTCAGTGGCACTCACACTGCTTGGGTCCTGGCCACCAGTCCAGGGGGCTCTGCATTTTAATTTAATTTTAAATGAAGCTTCTTAAACATTTTAAAAACCTTATTTACTTTGCATACAACAATAGTTTAGTTCTATATTACAGACTTGTATAAAGAGACCTTCTAAAAACATTAAAATGTATGACTGGCACGTAAAACCTTAAATCAGAGTGAATAAATGAAGACTCGGGGCACCACTGCTGAAAGGTTGCCGACCCCTGGGCTAGCCATTACTATCCTTGGTAGTATTCACTCATTTACACTCTCCTCTCTACACCTCACTTTTTCATAGTCATCTGTGCCAATACACCATCAGGGTTAGCTTCCCAAACATAATAAAAATGGGAGGTCAACTACTCATCTTATTAAAAAAATTAAAAGGCAAGTCTGCAGATACTGAGTTCAGTTTCTAGCAGGCTTTAAATATTAAAACACGCAACCATATTTTCTAAGTATAAGATCTGCACCTTTCATCAAATATATAATCTTGCACTTTAAACAAACAAGTTTTAGTGCTCTTGAAAGGCACTTGTTTGATGGCACTGGAGGCAGATGCCCTTCACATAGCCACAGAATGTATACACATCAGTCAGTGAGGGCTCTCATATACTGCTCCACCAGCTTGCTTGAAACTCAGCCTAGAGAGGAAATGAAAACTTTAGACGAGAACAACAACAAAATGTAGAAAGGCAGCAGAGGGAAGAATGAGGATGAGGACAAATATGATATTTCTGTTGCTTGGCAGGCTAATGCTCATGTCTGGATAAAGTGAAAGAGGATTTATATATTTAATATATATGAATGTATTAGAAATGCAAGTACACACGTGTGTGTGTGTGTACGTACACAAAAGAGGCTATGGATCCTTGAAGAAGCAGGTTTTGAAAATGGACTTAGGAAGGAGGGCGAAGGCAAGGTAGACATGGTCCACAAGGGAGTTCTAGGAAGAGTGCGAAGGATAAAAGCAGGCATGGAGATGATCTTGAGTAAAGGTCACAGGGAGAGCCTCAGTATGAGCAGTATGCGCTGAGCAAAGAGAGGATGGTGAGGAAGAATTTAAAAGAGATAAGAGCAGAAAGGTATAAAGAGCTAGGTATAAAGAAGAACATAAAAGAATGGCCATGCTGGTTCATCTTGCCCAGTATCCTGTCTTCTGACAGTGGCCAGTGCCAGATGCTTCAGCGGGAATGAGCAGAAGATGGCAATTATAAACTGAGCCATCCCCTGTCATTCTTTTTTGAACCAAGTTATACTTTTGGCCTTCACAACATCCTCTGGCAATGAGTTCCACAGCTGACCATGCATTGTGTGAAATAGTACTTCCTTTTGTTTATTTTAAACTTGCTGCCTATTAATTTCATTTGGTGACCCCTGATTCTTGTGTTATCGAAAAAGGCAAATAACACTTCCCTATTCACTTTCTCCACACCATTCAAGATTTTATAGACCTCTATCATATCCCCCTTAGTTGTCTCTTTTCTAAGCTAAACAGTCCCACTCTTTTTAATCTCTCCTAGTATGGAAGCAGTTCCATACACCTTATTACTGTTGTCTTTCGCTGTACCTTTTCCAATTATAATATACATATTTTTTAGACGGGATGACCAGAACTGCATGCAATATTCAAGACGTGGGCATCCCACAGATTTTTATACAGGTCTGTCGCATCTTACGTGCATTTAACATGAGCGATTTCAGCTTTACGTGGTCAGCAAAAACAAAAAACAAAACAAAAAAGAGAAAAACAACAATACTGCATCTGTAGTGCGGGCGATTCTGCCCGCCATTGAACTCAATGTAATTTTGACTAGATGCGGTTTCGCTTTACGCGCTGACCGCGGAACGTAGCCCCAGCATAAGATGAGACAGACCTGTAGTGGCATTATATTTTTTGTCTTATTACCTATACCTTTGCTAATGGTTCCTAATTTCATTAGCTTTTTTGACTGCCACTGCACATTGAGCAGATGTTTTCAGATAACTATCCACGAGGACTCCAAGATCTCTTTTTGAGTAGTAACAGCTAATTTAAAACCCTATCACTTTGTATGTATAGTTGGGATTTTTTTCCAATGTGCATTACTGTGCATTTATCAACAATGAATTTCATCTGCCATTTTGTTGCCCAGTCATCCAGTTTTGTGAGATTCCTCCATAACTCTGCAGTCTGCTTTGGATTTTGAGTAATTTTGTATCATCTGCAAATTTTACCACCTCACTGTTCACCCCTTTTTCCAGATCAATTATTAATATGTTGAACAGACTGGTCCCAGTACAGATCCTTGGATCCTGCTATTTACCTCTCTCCACTGTGAAAACTGTATCCTACCTTTGTTTCCTATCTCTTATCCAGTTACTGAGTCACAAGAGGACCTTCCCTCTTATCCCATGACAGCCTACTTTGCTTAAGAGATTTTGGTGAGGGACTGTGCCAAAGGCTTTCTGAAAATCCAAGTACATTATATCCACTTGATCACCCTTATCCACGTGCTTGTTGACTCCCTCAAAAAATTCTAACAGATTGGTGAGGTATGATTTTCCATACAAAAGCCATGTTAACTCTTCCCAACATACCGTGTCATCTATGTGTCTGATAATTCTGTTCTTTGCTATAGTTCCAACCAATTTGCCACATACTGAAGTTAGGTTTACTGGCCTATAATTGCCAGGACTGCCTCTGGAGCCTTTTTTTTTAAATCAGCATTACATTAGTTAACCTCTAGTCACTTGGTACAGAGGCCGATTTAAGAAGGAAAAACTTGAATTGTAATAAAATAGTGAATCAGCAAAGATATTTTAAGAAGGGCTGAACATGGTCATAACCCTGGATAGAGAGAAGATTATACCTGTTTTAAAGTTATTGGGGAAAAAAAGGTCCATCAAGAGCAACCTTCTGTGTTTAGAATTAGCAATATAACCTGTCAGCTGGAAAGAACCTTTGTGAAGTTGATTCTGTCAAGACTCACTTCCCACAATACTCCATAGCCTCTCATGGACTTGTGGAAATTGGATAAAGACAGAAGCTGCAGGAGAAACAAGAGGCATGTGCCTCTATTATACCAGCAAGTCTGCTTATTGTGCTGATCCTTCCTCTGGGCACCCCATCCCAAACAGTATACAAGCATCAGAGGGGTAGCCGTGTTAGTCTGTATCCACACACAAAAAACTAGGAGTCCAGTGGCACCTTAAAAACTAACAGATTTATTTGGACATAAGCTTTCGTGGGTAAAAAACTCACTTCTTCAGATGCATCATACAAGCATGTCTCTCCACCTATAAACATGCAGCTGTCCTGCATTAGCAAGTGTACAGCTGCCATCTCAGCCAACATCGGGGATTAAACAGATGACCTCCAGAACTAAAAGCATGAGAGTCTTTAAAGCTTGTGCAAAAAAGGCAAGTTCCCAAGATGAGGACAGATCCTCTATGGATTAGTGAGACACCTCATATACAACACCCCCCCCCCACCACCTGGTTTACACAAAACAAAATGTGTGACATATTACTGAAATGTGTATTTAGCAATTCACACATTATCATATACATTTCAGTGCAAAACCTGTATTGAAGAGGTCTTTTCAATGTGAGACTCACATTCAACCATGCCATCCCCTCAGATCAGCAGCAGGGTTTGAACCCCTTGATTTTTAGATTCCTACTTTTGAGTAACAGGAATAATTGCTATTCACTAAGCCGAGAAGAGACTACAGCCTCTTCCTGGACACACACTTTTCTAGTGGGTTACACAACCAGACAGCAGCAGACTATGAGTGACCAGGAATCCTAGATTCTATCACTGACTTTGGGAAAGGAGTGTGGTTTATAGTGGTTACAGACAATACATGATGAACCAAACTGGCTGAATCACTCTGAAAGACAAACAGTGTGAGGCAGCGGGTAAGACTGGTGTTTGTCACATTAGAGACCTGAATTCTGTGCCTGCCATGATGTTGCATAAGCTCTCTGCCAAATGAGTTTAATAATAAATTAAAAAAAAAAAGCAGGTAGAGGCGGAGAAATGTTCAGCAGCTGTTACCTAACCGTCTTCTAGGAGGGAGTTCATGGCCTTAGTTAATAGTAGCATGAGTAGCACTGGAATTTAAACAGAACTCAGAAGTGAAATTTGGGCTCCTTTACCAGCTCAGGGAACTTTGCTTTAGGCTGTAGGGATAATTAGTGAAGGGTTGTCAGTGTATATTTAGCATTTCTAGAAGTGAGTGACATCACTTGCACCACGGTAGATTTGCCCTCATATTAAAATCCAACTCATTCAAATTGGCACATACGTTTTCTGGGAGGGCTAAAATGTTATAGGAAGCGAAGTCCCCACAGTAGAAATTTTTAAACTCTTATTATTCTACTAATTCATTTTTCATCAAACCAACATAAAAAACTCAGTAGACCTCAAAGTTTACATTCTAGGTTTTAGTTTTTGCCATTTCAATGAGATTTACACAAAATAAAGGTTTGAAGCTCCTGTTAAAACTGAACTCTGTTACAACCTTATGGAGCAACAGCTGC